AACTTATGGGCCTATATTGGAGACTTTTCCAATTCACCAAAATTAATTACAATGGCCCACATAAATAAATATCACATTTAATTATTTAACAATTTATCAATTAATTCCAACTGCGTGAACACGCTTATTTGCCGAGCCATACAATGAACCAACTTATTTTATAGGTGTGACTTGTTAGATTTTGATCTTCACGCCCAAAAACTAATCGACCCATCTTTCGAGGTCTCAAAATTTGCTTGATTTCAAGATTTAGATGCCTCCTTAGCAGAATTTTAGTGTATAGGGACCGAATTTGTTACTCTAGCCTTCTTGACCCCCCTATACATACGTGTTTTGCCCCTTTTTCTTTGTGTTTGAGTGGGTGTCAAATGGTGTGAAAGCTAGAATGCATTTTTCACCCAAGGGGTGTGAGGAACGCACTATGTTGTGCCAACTTCCACACAAAGCACCTCTCCACTTTACTTCACTTTTCAGCTTTGAAATTCATTAAATATTCATCAAATCACTAACTTGAACACAATTGTTTATCCCAAAAATCCAAACCGTATCCAAGAAGAAATGGCAATCAACAAGCAACCCAAGAAGCCAATTCAATCAAGTCTAGCAACGACACTATTCTTCATCGTAGTTTTCACAATTCCTGCCCTTCTCCTTCTCCACAGCCCATCAGCTTCGATTTGTACAACTTTTTCCTCCACCAACAAGCCATGGTCGGGCGACCTTTTCAATGCTGAATTTGCATGGAACAGGCTAAACTTCGTCGATAACAAGCCACCGTCGTCAATGACTCTTAAAATTGCCGTCTTCTCTAGGAAATGGCCTACTACTAATACTCCCAGTGGCATGGAACGACATGCGCGCACACTGCATACGGCTCTTGCTGCCCGTGGGCATCAAGTACACGTCTTTACGTCTCCACCACTTGATGATGTTCTCACAACCTCATTGCAAGAGCAAAATCATTCACAAGGAAGTCCAAGTTTGTTGCCTATCATACATTGGCACGAGAGGGAACCGAATAAATGGCGTTACAATATGGCTTGGGAACAATTTCAAGAAGAAAATGAAAGCAAACCATTCGATGTAATTCATTCCGAAAGTGTGGCTATCCCCTATTGGTTAGCTAGACATGTTCCTAACCTTGTAGTTTCATGGCATGGGATAGCATTGGAGGGCGTGCAGTCGAGTATCTACCAAGATTTGGTTCGCCCGCCAAACGAGCCCATATCACCTACCTTCAACATAAGCCTACAAGGCATGATCCCTAAAGTACTAAACGAAATTCGATTTTTCAAAAATTATGCACACCATGTAGCTATAAGCGATAGTTGCGGGGAAATGCTGCGAGATGTGTACCAAATCCCCATTCGACGGGTTCATGTAATCCTTAATGGTGTAAACGAAGAAGATTTTCAGCAAGATTCAAGATTGGGCCATGAATTTAGATACAAAATTGGTGTCCCCCAAAGCGCTAGTTTAGTCCTTGGTGTAGCAGGAAGACTAGTAAAGGATAAAGGGCATCCCTTATTATATGAGGCCTTTTCAAAACTTAAGGACAACTACCCTAACATCTACCTAATTGTTGCTGGCTCAGGACCATGGCTACAGCGGTACAAAGACTTAGGGCCACAAGTCATAGTTTTGGGATCAATAAATTCATCCGAATTACGAGCTTTCTACAACGCGATCGATGTTTTTGTTAATCCAACACTTAGGCCACAAGGGCTTGATCTTACACTAATGGAGGCCATGATAAGTGGAAAACCTGTTATTGCAGCAAGATTTCCTAGCATTAAAGGAACTATTTTGGTTAATAATGAATTTGGTTTCATGTTTTCGCCTAATGTCGAATCTTTATTGGAAGCATTGGAAAAGGTTGTGGCAGAAGGATCAAAGAGGTTAATAGAGAGAGGAAAAGCTTGCAGAGAATATGCAGTTTCTATGTTCACTGCAAGGAAGATGGCATTGGCTTATGAAAGATTGTTCTTCTGTATTAAGAATACAACATTTTGTACATACCCTTAAGAGAAATTATGACAGCAGACTTTTCTTTCGTGTCAAAATTATGAGAAAGGATAGAATGATTAACTGCACTCTGATGACTAAATCAGTTTATTAATATATTAATGAGTAGTCAAAGTGACACAAGTTCCACTTGGTTTCTAGTGTTTGTTTACTTAGGAGAATGATGGGCAAGGGAAAATTTATATGAAAATAACTTAAACCTCTACAAGATAGGTCCTAGGTTAGGACATATTGTAAAGGCTTCCATGATTTGAAAAAGACTTTAATGTTCTATGGATTAAGTGCTCATTCATTACATATTAAATACATAAGATTGGGCAATGAATGTTGTCACAACCACTAAGCAAAAAGTTACATGTCTATTTCAAGATGAGCCGAGAACAAAATCATAGGTGGTTGGTAATATGAAGGATCTACTTGGAACAACTTAGGTCACCAATTTGACAGAGCTAAGCTTTCGTCGAACCATTCATTGAAAAGACATTTTGACCAATCTAAGCCCCGACTAGGCGTGATTGTGCCAATTTCACTATTTCTTACTTCAAATCATTAGGGCACATGTTTGAAATTTGGACCATTTTTTGGCTTTTGAAGATTGGAGATTGTCCATTTTATCCTCTTTAATGCATAATGTCTACATTTAGAATGGGTGGGTGAGAGTCTTTGATAAGAGAAAACATGTGAATTTTGCATGTTAAGACTGTAAATGTGTTCTGCAAATTGTCTGAAAAGTAGACATTATTAATTAATAAAAAATGTGGATTTGAATAATAACCGGTCCAATTTTTTATTTCTATTTGTTTTTTAGCATGTTTAGACAGGGGGTTAAAATTGACAAGATTCATGTCAACTATTAAAAAGATGTTTTATAGTTGCGCATAACGCTATTTATCATCCATCAAGGTGGCATGAGTCTCTTGATTCATTATTCAATTAATCAGGGTTCTCACTGCCACCCAAACTAATATAAGTACCACCGTTGACAAATAAATGTTAACATGTTCAAAATGTGATAGCAGAGACTTTATTAATAGACAATAAAGTCTTAGAAAATATGGTCATGGATATTATGGTTATTGAAAATTGTGTTTTACACATTTAAATGAGCATCTAAACTCGTGTAATATTAATTTATTGTGTGGTTATCAATTTATGTGACATTGGCGACTACCAAATGGACTAGAGATTATTTTCATTATGGATGAATAATACTTTTAAGTTGATATGTGGCTTCTTGTTATTCGCTTAAGAGATGAAGCCCAAGAGGCGGCCACCTCAAATCCAAAATTCTTGGGGCACATAATTAAGCTTTGAAATAATAATTGATGGTAGTTTAAGGGCTAAAGTTTATCATTTAGCCGTTTTGGAGTTTAAATAATTTGTAAATTGATATAATATAAGATATAGAGAAAATTACCTAAAATCAGACATTTAGTTTTACAATTTCAAAACTCGGGTCTAAACTTTTTTTTAATAAAAAATCATGTATTAATTTCACAATTAATATTAATAATGATATTATAAAATTAAATTAATCTGTATACCCACTCTATCACCTACCCCCACCAAATTTCAATCAACTAACCCTAATCATTCCTCCATCTCCTCTATTCATTTTGTACTTTCTCTAGGCACCACAGGTTGTCGCCACAGCGGCCAAACCATAATCATTTTTCCTTCATCTCCTCTATGTTCCTTTTCTTCTTTCTCCCGACACTCATGTTGCCGCCACAGCAGCTTCGCTCCGAGAGCAACGAATCGCAGCGAAGCTCGAGGACGAGCACGGGAGCACCAATCGCAGCTAAGAAACCCACCCCAAAATCGACACCCTAAGCACAACCGACAATGTGGAAATCGGCAAGTTGAAGTCGAAAATTGCAATCCCCACAACTCACCATCTCCGGCCACACTTGGACTCGGAATAACGCAGCGCCACACCATCTTTGAAGATTCTATCGCTCGCTCGACCTAAGTTACATTATTGATTTCATTCATTTCTCGTATTGACTGTCTTGGTTTGGTTATAAGGTAGCAAAATTTCTGTCTCACATCCTAAAATCTCCAACTGTAAGATCCCATAAGATGATTCGAACTGAACTTACGAATGTGTAACATAGTATAGATAAAATTTCTTTTCAAGAAATGATCCGCTATTTACAAAAGCATGAACAAACTGTACTTGAGAAAAATATTTTAAGACATCCTAATGAAGCTGTCCGACAATGACATTGCAAAAAGATATTAAATGAGTGCAGAATATAGTCCAAGCACTGACTGGTTGTGACCAATTTTGTGTTAATTGTGACCGATTGTGACTTGATCATATACGGTCACAATTAGTCACACTGAACATAAATTTGGTCACAATTAATCACATTGAATATAAACTTGGTCACAATTAGTCACAGGCAGTCACAATTAGTCACATGGGGTGGGCGTGTGATTTTCAATTTTTATTTTTCTGAAAATCTTTGAGTCATCGGAGCAGCCGCTAGAGTGATCGTCGGAGCTGATAGCTGTTTCCAGTTGAGAGGTGGAGGGAAGGTGGTGTAGTAGGGTGATAGAATGTGGTAGGTGAGGTGGCATGAATAGAAATAATTAATGTATATTA